ATTCAATAAAGGTAAAAAATGACAACCTGACAGACATTATTTAGGTTCATCGCATCTTTTGATACAATGCCAGTGAATGGACTGAGACTGACATTCTGCCTTGACATTCAGCTTTTGTATTCCATGAAAGTCATACAGGTTCGAAACAATGAGTGTGAAAATAAATATGACAAAGCTTTCATTTTTAGATAAAATATTCCTTTAACGTGCACTCGACTAGAGGAAGTGTTTTAGCGCGAGCTGTCACATCTGTTCTGGCAATATGTCACGAGACTGTCATCAGCCGGTGTGGTTTCTAATCCACCTCAGAATATCATTTATCAGGACTAAGCTACAAGAGTAATAATAAAGTAAGTAATACCATCGACGTTGTCATAGAATTGTTTATGAGACGCTCATGTCCTGCGATCTAAGTGGTGTGACAACAGCGAATGCAGCACTTTATACTTACCTTCACTTATCCGCTATGGATGATCATGACGGCCACTGAACCTGTTCAGCGAGAGGACAAGTATCGTCTCGTCTCGTCTCGTCTCGCCTCGTCTTGTCTAGGTAAAGTTAAACCGGCTCTCACTGCCAGTTTCTACGCTCATCCGGAGTTCCGTGTCCAACAACATGCAACCGGAGAGCCAGACCTTTATTATCACTCTGCCAGATCACATTCAATGATCTACTGACCCCTGTCGGTACGGAGCAGATGCAACCCGACACGACAGAACAATGAATTTGTTGTTTAAAAAACTAACAAAAAAAATTCCTTTGTTATAAAAGAATAATACAGAATCGTATATGTAAGTCATAGCGAATATCTGGACTCAAACCCAAAGTGTTGTGTCCCATAACTTAAAAAAAGAAAAAGAAAACAGAAAGTATGTTTTTATATTTTATTATTATGAGCTTACCATGAAAATTAACTAGTTAATGCATGTGCATTAATGCATGGGGATACCCTATAGCCCCCGTTAAAATGGTAGGACTATTTTTTGCCTGTCAAAAATGCATCTCATTGTTGTAAAATCATTTTGAACAAATATAAATCACCAGAAATATAATATTCATTTTGTGTATAACCCGTTTTTTTTTTAAGTTATATTGCTCAAAATTGTAAACCCTGTTACTGATGGAATATTTTTCTCTAATGTATAATAAACAAGTCTAGACGTAGTTTGGGTTATTATGAAAGTCTACAAGAGCCTACTTGACAGTAACTGTGATTTAAGGTGATTTCCACACAACAAAAGATAGGTGATGGGGATGTTGAAAGTAAAATTGTATTAAACCGCTGTCAGGTTAGTATATGAAATGAATGAGCCATAGTATATGAATGAATTTAAAAATACACCAACTGGCTAAACTCCACAATTAGAATAAAGAAAGGGGAGTGATATTTAAAAGTGGAAAGCGGGAGGGGTGACACTTACAAAAAACTAAGTTATACAATCGTTGGTCAGCAACGGATAAGAAAAAAAAGACTGATAATTGTTCTGAATAGAAGCAGTTCAGATGGGGCTGCTGTCATCTCGGCTTTGTTGCTTTGTCCAATAAATTCTTATTTTGACTCCTGGAACGCTGCCTCCCGATCATTTTTATTTTTGCAAGACACAGAAGACTTTTCTCTACCACATTACTCGTAAGATAAATAAATAAATAATAAAATATAATCATAATAAAAAGAACAAATATATGTATTATTACTTCAATATATTATAATTAACTAACAAACATTTGGCCTCAAACTTTCTAGCTCCTACTAAATTCACTCATTCTGGGTAAAAGAAAATTATGTTTTAGAGGATTTACTAAAATCAAAATCGCACATGCTGTTTTCATTTTGATGACCATTTTATAAGTAGTAGCCTAGTAGCAGTAGTAGCCTAGTAGATCGATAGATAGATAGAAGCCATCTAAAATCACAAATTCACAGAAAATCACTACATTGCTCATTTTTGAGAATTTGCTTGAGGAATTTAGTCTATTTCAAGCCATTCTTTTGAATAAAAAGCACCTCCTTCTGTAGTAATCCACCTGTATTTATGGGGCAAAAATACAGGTGGGGGGTGTCAACGTGTTGTGTGAGAGTAAGCGTTGCAGAAGGAGTCCCTCTCTTCAGTCCCACCTGGAGCAGGAGGCCCTTCACCGTCACATGACTGCACGTGTGCGTACGCGCCGTGGATGCCAGTGAACATGGCGGATGAGAACGCAGAAGCGGAGCTCGACTTGAGGGGCCGACAGAGCCTGCTGCTCGACGAGGACACATTTTTCGCCATGGAGGGTATGCAAGCCACCTTTCAGCAACTCGAAGCCGCGCTTCGGCAGGAAGACGTTTCTGAAGAATCGTCCACGGAGTATTGCAATAACTTCTGCGAGGTACGCGCCGCCGAAAACGCAGCATGCATGCGAATTGTTTATATGCAACGTTTCAGAGCTGTGTTGGCTCGCGTTAGCTGACCAAGATGCAAGTTGTGGATGTTATCTCAACGTGTGGGCCGTTTAGTGAGCCATTCAAACGCAAAACAATCACTAGCGATTTGTGTTGGCATGCACGCCCGATAACCAGCAAATTTTGAGACGTTGCAAGATTTAAGTTGGCAATTTCAAGTAGCAAGCTGGTTGTGGTAGCTAGCTGATACTGTATAGCGTGTTGCACGGCTTCCCGTTGCCCTCAGTTTATGCGGCGGATATAAGCTTGAGTTTAAAATTGGGTATCTGTGGTCTGTAAAATCACATATTCGTGATTCGGCTCAGACGGCCTGTTTGGAACGGTATTTCCATGCATTATTGAAACGGGTATATCTTGTACGGGGTCCAGCGCGTTAGTGGGGTGGGGCTCGGTTGCGTTTATCTCATGCGTGTACTTGGTCTCCACTAACTTTGATGCCACTCTGTCACGTGTCACTTCTAATCAATCTTGGGAGTGTTTGCGTGCTTGAGTCCAAACTCAGACCCATTTTAAGAGACCAGTTCTCTTTGCATTCACACTCAGATCTATTTTACAGTTATGATTGGGTTTAATTTCCATTCACACCATGTTGTTTTTGTGGAACCAGCCCACCTTGAGTATAATTATTATATAGTATTGATGATGATTAGGGCTGTTTTTAATGTTAGAGTAATTGTACTTCCTGTCAAAGTTAACAGCCAGTGAACAGTACTTGTTTGTGTTCAGTAACATTTTTGGCCCCACTAAAACATTATTGGTTTAATTCAGCTACACATAATACATATATTTAGAGACCAATTTTAGCCCTATTATGTTCATCTTTTTACTACAAAAGAGATTTTTACTCTATCGTTCCAAAATTTGGGGTAAGCAATAATTTTTAATTTTGAAAGAAATTAGTACTTTTATTCAGCAAGGCACATTAAATTGATCAAAAGTTACAGTAAAGACATTTACACTGTTACAGAAGATTTCTATTTCAAATAAATTCTATTCTTAGATTTATCAAAGAATCCTGAAAAACACAAAAATGGTAAGCAGCACAACTGTTTTCAACGCTGATGGTAAATGTTTCTGTGTGCCAAATCAGCATATTAGAAGGATTTCTGAAGGATCTTGTGGCGCTGAAGACTGCAGTAATGGCTGCTGAAAATTCAGATTTGCCATCACGGGAATAAATTACTTAAAATTTTAAAATATTAGAATAGTAAATTGCAGAATTGTTTGATATAATGCTTAAGTGAAACAAGAGAGTGCGCTGTGTTCCAATTTGTGTTATAAACAAACCATACAACCACCGAACTGGCCTCTGTTTGATTCATTTTAAAGTGGTCCTTGAAAGTTTGGAATATTTGCGTGTATATCACAATTCAATGTGAACTGCTTTCAGACTCCTGAAACTAACTTTGTTTAGCACAAACAATCAGGTCTCTGATCCCAATATAAATTCTAAAAGGAAATGTCAACTTTTTCAGTAAGTTTAAGTGTGGGGCCTCTTTTCATTTTGTATTTTTATTAAGGACATTTTTTCCCCAATGTAACTTTGTTAAAATGATTATGCATTGTACATCCCATCATTGTTAAAGATTAATAACTGTTATTTGTGATGACGTCAATTATACAAAGACAATTTTTATGTCTCCATAATAGGGCTGCACAATTAATCGAATGTGATTGTCATGCACATTTTGTTAGTAATGCCGGTTCTGTAATCAGCAGGAAATCATCATCACGTGCTTTCAGATGGAGCAGAATTTAATTACTACTCATAGCCGTAGTTCATTGACAAGTTACGCAAATCGCAGACGATTTTATTGCGCAATAATGAAATCGAAGAAATCGTTTGCGATAATGACAGCTGTTAGCATAGCTTCTCAGTGAACTACGGCTCTGTGAAGTAAATGTTGCTCCATCTGAAAGCATGTGAAAATACCACATTTAATAACATATTTTTACTCCAAACTCACTTCATAACGTCAGTCGAGTGTTTGAAATAAATCCTTCTGTGAGATGATGTAGCTTCTTACACCGAATAAGTCATGCAACATATTTCATAGTATTTAAGCAGTGATAAAGGCATTGCATTATAAATATACTTTATTTTAATGAAAATTATAATAACTCAGATAAACCGTATATTGCCGTAGTTGTGTGTTTATTAGTCACGTTGAATCAATGAAAGCAGTTGAATCTTCTGTTTATTCAGCTGCAGCGATAAAACCCATTTCCTGGGTTTCTTCAGCGAGGCGTATTTGGAGTTTCAGCGTGAGAGCGGCCTCTGGCCTTTGGATGGAGATTTACTGCTGATCACAGAACCGTGCTTCACTGAAAGATACGCATGACAATCGCAGCTTCTGTCGAATCGCGATCTCAATTCTATTCCATAACACCATAATGCTTGTCTTTCAGTGTTGGTGCTGCACTTGTAATTTGGTCGTAACAAGCACATTCCAATGGGACAACAGTATCCCATTGGGAACCTAAAGGCCCCATTTAGGTTTACCAGACAACATTTAAAACCTCAGCTCTGCCTCTTTTTCCTGAGCATCGATGTTGCTGTGGCAACCACTCCAGCCAATATCAATCCTGACAGATGTCATATGCCACACACTACCTGTCTGCCTTAGAAGATATTTGATCATTTACTAAAAATGTTATTAATAAACTGGTTTTCACTTTTCATGTGTGCATCGTGGGTTCTTCTTTCTGAATGAAATCTTAACCCATGGACAGATGTTTGTGAAGCGGGAAGGAGTTCTAAGTTTTCACCAGAACAGCCATGTTTTGGTTGAAAACAAGTTGGGACAAGTTTGCTGCTTGCCATAAACCTCGAACTGCTACTGGTATCTCTTTGATTTGTGGCTAAAATACACTATATGACCTGTGGAAAAGGCTTGTTTTAATGCAGGCTGATGGTTAACAAGTACATTAGTTTGAACCCAATGAGGTCAATAGTACAGTCTTGTGAAACTGCAGATTGCAATGTCCTACGTTGTGCTTTTATTTTTTAGACTATATCTTGACAATAAATATTCTTTACTCAAGATAGTGAAAGTCTCAGAAGGAAGCACCCAGCTGCTCTGGGGTGAATCTGGTTAACAGGGCTATACCCAGTTACCCAGAGGAAGCTCTCCTAATCTTAGTTTTATAGGTTAAATATGGCATGACATTTCCTCTTTCTTTTGCTATAATAAGATATCAGCTGG